CAAACTCATTATTAGATAACAAAGGGCTACCTTTGTGTGTTCTTAGGGACAAATTTATACAAAAAAGGGTTGCAATGGCTAGTTTTCCCCAAAAATATTAAAATATGTTACAAAAATAACTAGCCGTTGCAACTCATTAAATCATAGGTGTTTTGTGTAAAACCTGATAAAGTAATGGCATTTGGTGAAATATATAAACTGTTGAGTGGCATTTCATGAAATAAGTTTTTCAATAACGAACTGTTAACGTCCAAACCTCATTAATGGCACGTCATGTCATTGTACTGTTTATGAATGGCATTTGGTGAATTTTGAAAAGTTGGATGGCATTTGATGAATTTCCAAAGTGCTTAGTGGCATTTGGTGAAATAGTCGTAAATTCTTTAAGTATATTAATTAAATTGGTCCTTTCTTCTTTATGAAGCGTTAATCCGATTTTAACTTCTCTTTTAATGGTTGAATCATTTGATATATCAATCGTTTTAGTTCCTCAATTATTGGTGTTTTCTTTTCAAGTGTTTCCATTGCTTTAATAATTTCTTTGTCATGTTCATTGTTAGTTAAGCAATTCTCATCATCTTGGTTTAAGGAAAAACACGATGAGTAAGGAGTTACCTCTATGTACTTAGGCTGATCCTTCTCGCGCCCAAAGAGGAGTCCCATGACGTTGAAGTCAAAGCATGGGGGTGCTTTCTCCTTGTGAATAGGAGTTGGGATCTCATCTACACTACTACAAAATACCCCTATCGAGTCGCCTGTAAATGACATAATGAATCGCTTTAAAGGCGACTCCACAGCCATCGACACAATAGCTTCCAAATTTAGTAGTCGCCTCTGAGGCGACTCGATAGCTTTTATATAAGTCGCCTATTAATTGTTAGGCGACACTATTCATTAATCTATTGTGTCGTTTGTATTGAAAGAGGCGACTCCATAGGTTAATCTATTATGTCGCTTGTGTTGAAAGAGGCGACACGTAAAAAATCAACATTTTTTCCAACTATTTTTATTAGCACATATAATGTCAGTGTTTATGACACTCAGCATGCTTGATCCCTGGTTCTTTGCCTGGAAGGTTGAAGTTCTTTCCATTATGCCAAAGTTATTTTTCATATATATATATATATATATATATATATATATATATATATATATATATATATATATATGATATTGTAGCTATTTAAAATACATTCTTAGATTTAACTTGTCGAGTCGCGTCTTACGTATTAGAAGACTTATTAGGTAGTGGTCATATAATAAAGCACCTAACAAGTCGGAATTTTAGAGTCACCTATATATAAGGTGCGACTTGTAAACATATTGAGTCGCCTCATACTTATTAGGTGACTTATTATGTTAGGGTTAAAATCAGCAAAGCACCTAATGAGTCGCCTAATATACATGACGTAACTTGATAGGTTTACAAGTCGCACCATATATGCATGTGACTCTATAATTGCTTAAATAATTCATTGAGGCAAGTGCCTCAAATCTTGGCTTGGCGCCCTGAATCCTACAGCCCGCCACGAACCCCATAATATTCATCCAAGCATTGGGGGTAAGTTGCCATACCCCCAGGTGGAATCCATCTAAGATCGCTTCCACAGCCGGATCTAGGGGAAATCGTAGACCCGCTTGTATCACACCGGCATAACAGCCAAAGGTAGAGTCTTTGTATCTTTGGTTAAGAGGCCAGACTACTATATCCCCCAAATCTGGGACATTGACCTCATATCCGGCCCCCATTACATAAGTGTCCATAAAGTCATTCAGGCCCTTATAAGTTTTTGGGTAGAAAGGGAAATATGTGTGAAGTAGGGGGTGTACTCGTCTTGGAGAGAGGAGGATGCCTCTCCCTGACCTCTCTTAGGAGAGACAAATTCCCCATTTGACTCAATAGGCGAATCCTTTTCAGTTTTGGAGCCGCTTGAAGAAGCGTCTGAAGGAGGATCCTTGCACAGATTCTAAACCCCCATTGGCCAAATCATCCGACTCTCCCGGAAAGGAGTCGTTCGAGGTACTGGGGGTACCAGGCGCATCATACTGAATCTCACTCTTAGGCACCCTTATGGAACCCTCATCCTCTTCATCACTAGGCGGTCGAGCTGTTCTTTTCGTCCTGGCCATAGTGTCCTGCACAAACACAGACACAGAGACGATTAGATTAGGGGACGAAGGAGAGGAGCAGACAACACCCCTAGTCCTAGATTCAGCCGTCCCAGGTGACCGGATGACAGCTATCTTAGGTCGTGTTGTGTGTGTTTGTGAAACCATTTATGAAAATAACGAAAAACAAACACAAGCAAAGATTTAAAACTTTAAGGAGAAGAGAGAGTCAGGCGGTTACCTTGCAGAAGGTACTGTTTGAAGTAGACTGGGCCGGTTAAAGCAGGCTGACTATAACAAGCGACGGCTAACCCTCTTTTTCCTTTGAAAATTCTCTCAATATCTCTCAAGCTTTTTTCGTGAATATGTAAAAAATGAGGGGTATACTTTGTATTTATAGAGGAGTAATTTCAGGGGCATCCTGGTAATTTCCCCAGAAGATGAATAGTAAATACTTTCACCAACTGATGAGTGACAAGTGTCACAGATGCCACGTGGCCCGCCACATCACATCTGTGAGGGGCAAATATTTTGGGTAAAATTACCCCGCCACGTGGACCACTTAAAACAGGACACGTGTCCACCCATAATTGGTACCAAAGAAGCCAATAACAGCATGACACGTGGAATCCACTATCAAGAGAAGGAAATGGGGGCCTTCATAGGCCTAATTCCCGAAAAGCCGCCCAAAAGAGCGGGCAGCCCACCGAATCTAGGTTAAATGACCTACGTAAGGGAACACTTTTCCAAAATGACCCTATAAATAGGGAGATTTCCCTCATTTGTGGGATAGATTGAAATATTACAATTTCCCTGACATTCTCTTACATTAGAAAAATCTCCTAATTTCGGAATCCCAGAAAATCTCACTTTTACCTTTTTCCGCACTTTTACTCACTCCATCACGTTCTAATGTGATCGTCGGAGGCGGAGCTCCATCCATATGGAGTTTTCATTGTTTTGCAAGTACAGGCGCTTTCTGACCAATCTTCGAGTCGTAACTCTCTCGAGGGACAAAAACACCCAAAATAATCTCCACTTTCTCTGTTAATTTGCTAAATTTTATGAAGTAATATTTCAAGTACAATTAGAGAGTTAAAAAAAAAGTTGAGATGCATTATTATGATGTTGGTTTTGTTGTAGGAGGGAGTACATGCTCAACAAAGTAGTGTAAAGACTTATAGTTAAATTTCAGAAATGGAAAAATCCTTATGTCATTATTCTAATAACTTATAGAAAATATTTAATAATAAATGTGCAATGTTCTGTTGATCAGGTACATACTCTTCAAGTGCAACTGTCTGCCAGTCATAGCGTCAAGACTTAAGAAGCTAATGAGAGCTTAACGACGGTAATAACATGTACCAAAGCTTCCATTGCATATTACAGGAATGTGTTGATTAATGCATGTTTAAACTTTGACTTCTGAAACCAAAGATTTATTTCTTTCAATTGCATATCTCCTCAGTTTGAAGGTGGTGTATGCTTGTGATTGTCCTACAATGAAATTCAACTGTCGATAATCATCTGGCTAGCTGCTGCTAAAGACAATAAAATTTTCAGTTATTTTTCTTACGTTACAAAAAATGGATGCAACCTTGCAAACATTAAGGTTTTGTACTTTAGGCAATTACAACACATTAATTTTTTTCCCCTCAAGAAATCAATATAGCTAAGTTCCTGGGAACAAGATCGGAAGTGAAGGCCAAACTTTTACAAATTATTGAGCATGGTTTTCTGTCAATATGGTTGTTGCGGTGGCATTGATGGTTGATGATTTGCAATGTTTAGAGAAGGGGGAAATTGACCGTATAGACAAATGGAAGAGAATCTGTGACAAATGGAACTGAAGAGGCAGCTATTCTAGAGGATTCAAGTATTACAGTGTGTGTTGGATGACATTCTATAGTAATGACTAAAAAGCTTTGAATGTATGATATGTCTTCTGTCTAATAACCGTTCTTAATTTCTTTATTTTTAGGTTCCAGATTTCCTAAATGCCAAAATTGATGGAGTTCTAGTTAAAGAGCTCATTAAGGACTGAGAGTGGTTAGAAGAAGTGTTCGCTTACATAGTTCAATAGATAAGCAGTTGGACATTGTGCAACTGTATCCAACATCTGAATAATAATTACTTGAGTTACAGTCAGCATACATTTGGAAAGTTCAAGCTAATTAATATTAGCTTCACCTTTCATTAAACATATGTTTGAATACATTAATGAGTATATTTAAATGATCTTGAAAAAGTATAATAAATTCCTCTTAAAGGAAAAAAATATCCTTAGAAGTAGATTAGATTGCTCTTAAAGTAGATAAAATTTTAACTGAATTTTATAGCTTACATATGTGCATAATCTGGAGATACATTTACATAATTTAAAGTAAAGTTTAAAACTAATTGATTTTTAGCTCTCTATTTCGTATGGACAGAGTTTTGTTGACTACAGTTTTTTTTTTTTTTTTTTTTTTTTTTTTGGGTAAAGTAAATGTTTTTATATGTAAAGTTAATGATGTTATATTTAAAGTAAATGAAATGTGTATGGTTGATGGTAAAGACTAATTGGGAAGATCTTGTAGTATTTTGAAATGTAATGGCACATAAGGGAATCATTACATTCATGGTGAAGTGCTATCAGTATTTTCAGCCTCCCACCTTACCGCTATGCGTCATACAATAGTCCACATTATCTATACCTTCTCATTATTACAAGCCACGGTACCCAGTCCCGTATAATCGTGCTACCCCTCCACATTAACCTTCCAGGCACCTAAAACAAGCTTTACGCATTATGAGTATTTCAAAATAAGACAATAAGTTCCACTAACCAAGGCTACATGATTACTTTCTCATGATGCAAAAGATTTTTTTTTTTTTTTTTTGACAAAGCAATTAAACAATATAAGGACAAAATTATATATTAATGATAGACTCCATATCAGTCTTCCATCCATCGTTTCCACACCTATCTTCCCATCATTTGTTTATTAAACATTACATTTGCAGTAAATCAATATTTCTTAAAAGTAAATAGAAAACTATTAAAAGAAAATAAACCAATCAATTAAGTATAAGACAAGGCTGGAATCATCTTTAAAATGTTCGGCATTAGTGAATATAGGGCCTTCAACAAATAAAGATTTGACAATCCAGAACTTGTTTAAAAATGTTCAAAAAATTAATTATGAAATCCACATGTTAAAAATATATTACATGTAAAATTTGTAGGTAGATTGTATAATAGGCATGGCACTACAATATTGCCAGGATATTTGATGAGGAAGTGTAACACTATTTTACCATATTTTGTCAGTGAGTTGGTCTTTCCATCTTTCTCTAACGATATTTGCTTTGCTCTTAGCTTAACCATATTTAGCTCAATCTGACGCAGTCGCAATTTCATATCATCCACTTTCTGCATAGGATACATGAGCATGTTAGTACTATAAGGCAAGAAGCATTAAGTTATAGCAGAGAGATATTGTCACATTTATTATATCTTAATAGCTTAGTGTAACAAACAGAGCAATTACAAAGGAAACGAAAATTATATAGATGAAACCTAGTCTTTTTACTCGTAAGAACCTTCTAGTTCATTAGATATAAGCACCAAGATCAATTAATAGTTAAAAAAAAAAAAAAAAAAAAACAAATATAGGACCATTCCACAATTATGAAACTAAGTAAGTCTTCGATGCCTGAGCAATATAACTTAACTTAATATGAGCCATCTACAGGTTAAAGTGCTCTCATTAATCCAAAATTGAGTCACTGGTTACCAGCTTTATTGCTTATTAAATGAAACCAACTTAAATAAACAGCATTAGATGTATCATAATCTTAAAAGTTTCAAGACCTACATGCCAACTAATTTAATTCTTCATTATGGTGAGGATGAGAGAGTGAACCAGGGGTTAAGGAAAAAAGGAAGCAGAATTCACATACAAGGACAACAGATTGAGAACCCTCTGATGGTAGTATTGATATATTATTGGACTTTTCAAATTAGTTTTCTGTTATCTTCTCTATTGAATTGTCTTACCAGTATCTATTTGCCTACTAATTTCACAAAACTAAAACAGTTTAGGACATATGGCATCTAATTGGAATATACTATATTTTGGTATGAATGAAAGCCCCGTCTATTTAGCCACACAATTATACATACTCTTGCCGACATGCGGAACCCATACAGCCCCATAACTACACATCAACACACACCCTCATAATTCCAAGCTTAAACAGCCAATTCACTACATACCCTTATCTAGGAAGCTTAGCAGTATAGATGTAATACTCTAGGCTTAAACAACTCACAATTCATGCCCTGTGAATGTTAGGCGAAACCAAAAGTACATATAAAAAAGTCAAAAGTAAATCAAATATCTTAAAAGCAATACCAAAACAACTATGATAAAAGTAAAGGTTCTAATGTTTAAAGTAAATAGATATACTATAAGACTATAAATTAAAAAAATACCAAAAAAAAAAGATGATTTCAATTGAAATCCTAGTTAAAGAAAATTAACAATAAAATTAAAATAAATTGTACACCTTGAAAAATCGCAAGAAAGATTAACATGAATCGAAAAAAATCTCAGCAAAAATAACAAAATTAGCAAACTGCTAGAACTAAAAATAACAAAAACCCTAATTTCAAACTCGAAATCATAAAAAATCAAACAATTGTAAAAAAAAAAATCAATTAAACACAAGAAAACCACAATCAAATAACTTACTTTTCCAGTATACTTATCTAGCCTAAAACCATAGCAATTAGTCAATCGGATTTTCCTAGTCAAAAACCGCATAATCAGATTTTCGCAATCAAAATCGCAAAAAACATATATCGAAATCGAGAAAATTCAAATTAAAACCGACATTTACGTACCTTAACAGAATATCGCGAGAAATTGATGAGCAAAAGAGAAGAAATTAAAGAGCGAAGAAATGGAAGAGCAAGAAAAAATATCGCCTCTTAGAGAACTTGGAGGAAGAGAGAGAAAAAAATGAAGCGTGTAGGGAATTAGAACGGAGGTCATTCAACTTTCACAATTACGAAAATGCCCTTAATGAGGCGGGTGAAATTTCACTGTTAGATAGAGCGCGATCAACGGTCCAGATGAGTTCCTAGTTTCTATATGTATATATATATATGTATACATACATATATATATACATATATATACATACATATATATATATATACATACATATATATATATATATATATTAAAAATTTCTCCATTTAAAAACTAAAAGTTAATGTGCATAATGAGACGAATACATTATAATTTAATCTAAATATTTGCAACGGGGTTAATAATTGGAAAGGAGGGAGTTTTTTTTTTTTTACAAAAGATTAAAGAAAAGCAGAGTTACAACCTAATCACAAAATAATACAAGAACACCAATTAACCTAAACAATAGACGCTAAGAACCATAACAAGAAAAACGAAGAGAACAAATACTAAAAAAAGTCCTGTAGCAAACCAATAGTTGCTGTGTCCAGACAACCAAGAAAACCGAACCACATCCATACAGTGGATCAAGAGAAGTCGAATTAACCGACACAGTCGAGATGGACCAAGAGCGCAGATTATACATATTGAAGAGAACCCGATCGAACTAGTTGCTATTTATTTGTTTGAAGATATATCAGCACAGTGTATTTCTTCCCTTTCCTTCATTGTCTCTCTAAATTCCTATCAAATTAAATTTGTTCATTTTCGGCTATTGAGGAGATTATTAAGTAAAAATAATTTCTTTTAACAAGTAATTTTTTCTTTCTAGATATAACTAAACTCTTGTTCACCAACCACTATTACACACATGTTAAAAAATGTTTGAAAGTTCAAAGGTAAAAAAAGTAGGAAAATTTGTCAAGAATAAGGGCATGTTCTCATTGATTGAACTCAGTTGAACTGAACTGAATATTTTATAAGAAAAGGAAATTAGGAGCTGAACTGAACTGAACTGAAAATAAACGTATGAGAACAGGCCCTAAGTCAATCTTTATGTGATTAGCTCAAAATAAGTCGACTTTTAAAGGTTATTTTCTTTTAATAAGTCTAATGACCTACAACCTATTAAACTAGTCATTTTTATTAATTTAAAAGATTTAATTAAATTTAATTAAATGTTCTTTTAAGAAAAAATATATTTTATTAAATATGTAGTATTAGTTATAATTACATTACATAAATAAAAAAATAAAATAAATAAAAAAAATCCTAGTGTAGGGAATATTTCAAGCCATCCCACACTTGAGCCCCACTTTGATTATACACTTAAGCATGGTGGCGTCCAAAAGGAAGGAAGTTGAAGTAAAAGAGTTGATGTAGACACCTAAAAATGTCTCCCCAAAACCAAACCCGATGATGAATAACCTTTCACCGTCTCTATTGGTCGGGTACAGTATTTAATCCCGAGAGTGCTTAAAAAATCGTATTTAATAAAATTCAATTTTTGAATAGTCCATGGATCAGTCTTGATGTTTGGTCAAAGCATAGTTTTTTTAAATTTAGCCCAAACCTTTTTTATTTTATTGTTTTATTATTTATTTTTGGCCCAAACTTTTTATTTATTTTATTTACTTATTTTAGCCCAAATAATAATAAATCAGAAATGGCCCGAAATTATCAATCGGCACTTAAAATGCTGAACGAAATTAGGGTTAAAAATGTATTTAGACGGAAAAGCGGACTGAAAACTCCCGCGTCACGATAACAGTCCACCGTGTCACGGAAAATTATCTTGTCAGACGGTGGGTTTCCGTGAAAATTTCCCGTGACGGGACAATTTCCCGTGACACGGGACACCTGCTGTGACACGGGGGTTTCCGTGTCCTTTATGCGTAGACCCTTAACGCGTTTTCTCCCCCGTTCACTGAATATCTCCCGCGTCACACAATAGTACACCGTGTCACGGGAATGTATCCCGTCTGACGGTGGGAATTCCCGTGTCACGGTACACTTTGTCGTGTCGCGGTATACTTTTTTAGGGTTTTTATCTTTTTTAGGGTTCCGTGTGTTCCCTCAGCACATTTTTCTATAAATACCCCCTCATTTCTGATGAACGGGGCATTAATTAATTCTCTATTTTTTCTCTCTTCTATGCTCTAGCCTAAACACTAGCCTACCCTCCTTCTTTCAAAATTCCTTCTTCAAGCACTCCAAGGAGTCCATACTTTACTCGTGGTTCTGTCCTTAAGCCAAGGCGTGAAAGTTGCAAGAAAACAGAATCAAAGTAAGAATTATGTTCCTTATATTTCTATTGTTTTTCTAACGATTTTATATTGTTGGAATTATTGCTAAATTGCTTCCAATATTAATGTTTATTCTATTATATTTATTGATCACCATATTGCATGTTTAAAGGGAATATGTAATTGAAAATCACGACTAATTAGATAATTTGGACGACCGGTTTATATTCCTTTTTAATCTTGTTGTTAAGTCAATTGATCACAATATTTTAGAATAATGTGTTGCATTAATATTTAACCAATTTAGTCTAATAATAGTTTGGAGCAAATTGAATATTTTGTTTATATGCCTTTGAGATCGCAGGAATCATTTTTCACTATAAGAACCGAGTAGAGGCCAATACGGGCGAATGTGACTCCATGACTCACTTCGTACCATCATCCCTGATCCTCCTTTTGTGATTCCGAACCATATGGAGTTAGTAATCTCATGGATTATGAATGGGGTGTAACCTTCACGGGTCAATCGTTGTTGCCTATCGTTGTCCCTTATCGTGGTTGTCTTTTATGATCCGTGAACGGTTTACAAATTCCTTAAAAACTTGTTGGCGGCTCCCTACTTTCCTTGTCCCTAATCGTATAATGTCAATTCCCACTTTCTATGAGTGTCAAGCATTTTCACACAAGCTTTTACGTAGGCGACTCCACTGGGGAGGATTCTTGATTATTTATCGATTTGCGTGATCGGTATTAAGATGAGTGGATGAGACTTGAAAGGTTCTTGAAAAATATTCCTATGATTAATTTGGCATTTTTGCATAAGCATAGACGTTTTAACGTCGCATTTAGGTCTGTCCCATAGGAAAAATTGAATAACTTGATTGCGTACGAAGGAAAACAGGGCACTAGTCAGATTTTCTGAATGCCGTGCCATGGCAGAATCTGCTGTGTCACGGTTCAGTACACCGTCTGACGGTGTGCGGTATCGTGGCACGGGAATCGTTGCCGTGTCACGGTAGGCCTAAAATCAGTCTGGTGGCTTATTTTCTTTTCTCACAGTCAACTTCCTTTGATTTTTCTGAAAAAACGTGTGTGATCTACATGCGTCTTAGCCCCGGGGATTTAATCTCTATCAACCCAAAAACGCTCATGGAAATAAGGGTTCATCCGAGTTATTAAATACACCCAAACCATGAAGTCGAGTTCGATTTCATCACGAACTCGCGGAGCCGCCCGTTGGCATACACCCTCAAGGGAGGCTGCCTTGCTAACGCGTCCAAACTCTTAACCATGGTACCTTTTTGAAACCCAAAGCTTGACCAATAGTTGAACATAGATCTTGACCTTAGGTTGTGAACTTTTTTTTACATCATCGTGACTAAATGCTACATGGTTTCTTTGGTGCTAATCCTCATGTGTTTGCTCTAGTTGTTTAACCCATGACCGAGGGTTTTTATTTCCACATAGTAATTAGTACGGACCTAAAATCAATTAAAATCTGGAAAAAGTCACAAAAAAGACCTGGAACTGAGCACCGTGTCACGACAAGTCCTGCCGCGCCACGGTGAACAGTGTCATGACACGGTGCTTTCTACCTGCTGACGGTAGACTATATCGTGTCTCGACAGTCAGCACCGTGACACGGTGCCTATGAGAAGTGTCCCGTTAGTCTTTTTTGGTTTTTGTGCGTACGTTTGTGGTTTATGTGTCCAGTTTGGTTTCATGTCTAGTTGTACGGTCATAACACACGTCCATAACCTCACTTAATCACTCATATGTCGTGTTCACACACTTTTTTCGTTAGTCGTGCACCATTTCATGACCGTATTTTAGGGTAGTCTTTTGTCGTTTTTTTTTGTGTCGTTTTTTTTTCGGAGTAAGTTGGATGGTATCCTCTCATATTTTTTATTTTTTTTAAAACAGAAAAATAAATAAATAGAATTTTAAAATTCAATTTTTTTTTAATTTTTCCGGCTGGGTTAAGGGCTGGGTTAAGGTTAAGTTTGGTCATTAAAGGTGTGTTTGTTTCGGTGTCGCAGCATTTGGTCAAGAAGCAGGGGTAGATTGTTATGGTTCGAGTCAATACCTCAACAACCTCTTATACCAAAGAGGCGTACAAGGAAACCACCACAATCATCTCCACAAGATCCATCTCCAATCTACTTTCAACCAATGGCTACTAAGGAAGATATCGAGAACATCAACAGGACAATTGAAATGTTTTCTAATATGATGCAAACACTCACCACTAGAGTCAGCACAGTAAAGCAAGACAATCAGACCAGCGTCACTGCCGCTGCAACGGACAAGATTAAGGAACAGATGAGTAAGATTTCTGAAGAATTCACTTATGTGGAGCAACCTGTCGCCTCTTCGTCCATATGGGACAAGCTTCCTGAGAAGTTTTCCACTGCTGACATTCCCAAATTCAAGCCTACTGATAATCCGCTTTTCCATTTGAAGGCCTTTTCTGCGACCATGGCTCTTAACAGAGTAGATGTGACACTCTTCCCTATGGTGTTCCCTCTTTCCTTAGAGCATGCCTGTCAACAATGGTTCTACTCTCTGGAGTCCAAACATGTTGAGACTTGGGAGGATGTTGCTAAAAGCTTCATGAATCGTAACAAGTCTAACATTCAAGCCAAGACTTCTGAACGTGAACTCTCCATTCTCAAACAGAAAGAGAATGAAGGCTTCACCACTTACTTAAGCAGGTGGAGGGAAACAGCCGCGCTCTTGGTGGATCCCCCCAAGGAAAAAGAGATGGTTCGCTTGTTCATTGCAAATTTGACTCATAAGTACAAGTAACATTTGAAGTTTTTGCCTCTGAGTACCTTCAA